TGAACTTCTTCAAAAATTTGCAACTTATGGGGAAGTTATACTTATAAGGTTAGAACAAATTCAGTTGTAAACACTGCAACTTTTCTTAAAATGTTCAAAATCTTTTGTTTAGAGTAAGTTAAAATGATAAATCTTCATGTTTGCGATATTTTGTGGAGATTATGGTAGGACCAGTGCTTTTTTTCTAAAAAAAAAAAAAAAAGGTGCCGGAACTCACACACATCATACAACTCGCCTTGCCTACCCTACAAGGTTCCATCCAAAAAAGGTGCCGGAACTCCGTTCTGAGCGTTCTATGACAAAAAAAAGCCCTGGGTAGGACAGAAGGAAAAATTATTCCAATTTTCAGAGTAGCTTCCCAGAGTAGTCTTTTCTATAAGACTAGTGATAAGACAGTTACGGGTAGTCCTTAATTTACAACAGTTTATTTAGTGACCATTTGAAGTTACAACATCACTGAAAAAAGTGACTTAGGACCATTTTTCACACTTACAACCGTTGCAGCGTTCCCAGGGTCATTTGATCAGAATTCAACTACTTGGAAAGTGGTTCATATTTATGACGGTTGCAGGGTCCTGGGGCCATGCGATCTCCTTTTATGACTTCTGACGAGCAAAATCAATGGGGAAGCCAGATTTACTTAACAACCGTGTGGCTAACTTAACAGTTGCAGTGATTCACTTTAACAACCGTGGCAAGAAAGGTCATAAAATGGGACAAAATTAACCTTACCAAGTGTTTCACTTAGCAACATAAATTTTGGGCTCAATTATGGTCACAAGTTGAGGACTACCTGTATATTTTCTTCAATAGACATATAAAATACAAATGGAAGGTATGCATTTTAGAGCTCCTTATATGTATTCATTTGTTTCAGGCCTTTTATACCGCCCATGTCTGCAACAGAAAACACCTTTGTATTGCTATAAAAATGCATTGCTTTTAAATATGAGGATACCCAGCGTACCTTGGATATTTATCAGAAGAGATGTAGTATAATATTGTATGATAAGAAGTATTGAAACAATCCCAATGGTATGGGAATAGTAGACTGAACAATGTTGGCACTTTTGCTTGGCAATGTTTTACTTTAACTTATCAAAATTTGTAAATAATACTTTTAACGTCCTATGCCAAAACATTTTGAAGAGGTTTTATGGCTTAGTCTTGTATGTCAGCCAGGCTACCACTGTGTGTTAAATCTATAATATTGTCTTAAGAACTGTGTCTATGTATTCAGTATTCTGGTCTTAGACAAACCAAATTGGAATGGCAAAAAGAGTTCTCTTTATGCTCTTTTATAAATATTTTTGTTACTTTGTAGTGAGTTTTGTACATATTATTGCATCTACGTTTTGTTCCAGGTAGCCATATCATGCTAGTCCAGTGGTTCTCAACCTGTGGGTCGGGACCCCATTTGGGGTCGATCGACCATTTCATGGGGGTCGCCAACCAAGGCTGTCCGCCATTTTTTTTGTCCGCCATTTTTTTTGTTCGCCATTTTTTCCCCACTTTTCCGGTGGGTGCCTTACCTCCCTTGGGCTGGGCCAGCTGGTGGTCAGCCTGCTCCGTCTCTGCCGCTTGCCAGCTACGCCTCGGTCGGCACAGGGGGCGGAACCGCACATGCGCGGCGCTCCCAGGCAGGGAAAGTCCTTGACTTACGACTGGTTTAGTCCTCGACTTACGACCGGTTTAGTCCTCGACTTACGACCGGTTGGGGTCGCGGCATTAAAAAGGTTGAGAACCACTGTGCTAGTCAGTTTGGACAATGGAAATATTGGAAAAAAAACAATGAAACTACAGAGACAGCATATAGATGAGTAGTATTCTTCAGTATGTTTTGTCATTCATGTTTAAAATTTGGTGTACTTTACAGATTTGTAGAAGATAAAATGTGGGTGACATTTTTGGAAGGCAGCTCTGCTTTGAGTGTTCTGGATCTGAATGGTATTGAGGTAACAATCATTTCTAATCCTATTTCTACATATGTAAATAATAGTGGTGCAAGCAGAGTGTGTGGTATTATAATTTAGTTTAGCATTCTCTGTTCATTAGGTATAGAGATATTTGATAAACCGTTCTTGCATAATTTGTGAAATTTGGAACTTAATTGTGAAATGGACTGTATTTACATTTACACATTTCTTGTTGAGTCAGTGGTATATTAGGACACAGGGGAATGAAGAAGCATCATAAACTGGAAGGCTTGGAGTGGTTGTTTCTAGGATTTTCCCTAATTGTTTTTATATGTGTTTGCATGTATAGCCACTTTGTTTTGCAGCTAGCCACAATGATCTCAACCTCAGCAAAATGTGTAGCGGTAGTCCTCCACTTACAACCTTTTGTTTAGTGACCGTTTGAAGTTACAACGGCACTGAAAAAAGTAACTTATGACCATATTTCACACTTAGAACCATTTCAGCATTCCCATGGACACGTGATCAAAATTTGGACACTTGGCACCTGGCTCATCTTTATGACAGCTGCAGTGTCCCAGGGTCATGTGATCATCTTTTGTGACTGTCTGACAAGCAAAATCAATGCAGAAGCCAGATTCACTTTACAGCTGCGTTACTAACTTAATAACTGCAGTGATTCACTTGACAACTGTGGCAAAAAGGTCGTAGAATGGGACAAAACTCACTTAATAACGGTCTTACTTAGCAACAGAAATTTTGAGCTCAATTTTGGGTCGTAAGTCGAGGACTACCTGTATTATGTCATATTAAACTCCACTGCTTGTGAGGGATATCACGATACAAATAAAAAAGGGACAGAATTTGGATTACAACATCATCAGCACACTTCTGCAGATGCTCTTATTTCTAGGTTAATTTCTCCAATGATCGTGTTTATTCTTAATTACAGTATAAAGAACCTTTGTCTGGGAGGGGTTGTTTTGATTTGATTTTTTTAAGAAATTATGTGAATTATTCTTTCTGGTTAAAATTCAGGTTCTCGGGAAAACCGCTAACATTTCTTTGAAAAGCCCTGATTGGATTAAGAGTTTAGAAGATGAAATAAGTTTGGAGAGAGTTAATATTGGGCTGCCTTCATCAACAAGTTCTACTTTGCTTTGTGAAGATGCAGAAGTTACTGCAGACTACGATATGGAAGGTTTGACAGATTCAAGATTGATTCTGTTCAGTGGATGCTGTCTTACAGCACATATTACTAATATACAACACATCGCAGTTGAATCTGTTGAATTTTAGGATAAGAATAAAACTATTTTTCACATCTGCTAATATTAAATTCCTATACTTAATTCATAAATTTGTCTATCAACAAAATCTTTTTCTAAATTTACCTTATTGATTCTTTATGGGACCAGGTTAGCAACAACAATTTATATGAAATTATTACCTCTTATTTGACACATATTTATCAGAATGAGATGCTAAAATGTACCTAAATTTCAAATAGAATACTAAGGAATATAAAGTAATTAAGCTCCTGTTTATGGTTAAGATGCCAGGGTTCCAATAATTCAATTAGCAATTAGTTTGCTAATATCTACAGGGTTCCCACCATGCTAGCATTCCAAAAAAACTTAAAGACCTGGCTATTGTCCCTGTTTTTCACATCTGCTAATATTAAATTCCTATACTTAATTCATAAATTTGTCTATCAACAAAATCTTTTTCTAAATTTACCTTATTGATTCTTTATGGGACCAAGTTAGCAACAACAATTTATATGAAATTATTACCTTTTATTTGGCACATATTTATCAGAATGAGATGCTAAAGTGTACTTAAATTTCAAATAGAATATTAAGGAGTATAAAGTAATTAAGCTCCTGTTTATGGTTAAGATGCCAGGGTTCCAATAATTCAATTAGCAATTAGTTTGCTAATATCTACAGGGTTCCCACCATGCTAGCATTCCCAAAAAAAACTTAAAGACCTGGCTATTGTCCCAGGCCTTGTATTAGGGTAGTTGGGGTCCCTGCCAAATTGTATGAGGCTTTGCTTAGCTAGATACACCACCAATTCTTGTTCGTTTATTTTTATTTTTACATAACTCTTATATATTTTGTCAGTTTGGAGTTGAGAGGTGCCTAAACGAATAAATTAAAATAAATTACATTGCACTGAATGACATTAAAATAAATGAATTCTGAGTACGTCCACATATTAAACTTTGATTGAGACTGTGTATCAAGGTGTAATATTTCTGCATAACAGTTTTCACTATATATTAATTGTGGTGCAATTTTATAGGAATATTTTTCTTCATTTCAAGGTGATGTTGATGATTATAGTACTGAAGTAGAAGAAATTCTCCCACAACATCTACAGCTAGCTTCAGGCTCTAGTCTTGGAGCCTCACCTGCCTCTTCCCCTCGTTCAAGCCCCTGCCAGTCCCCTACTCCATCAGAAGGTCTGCCTCCAACTCTTCCATCAAGGCCAAGCAGGACACCCAATAAGACTCCCGGACCTCCGGTGTCTTCTCAAGGTAGATATTTATTTATTAATCAAACTTCTATTCTGTCACAATCAAAGAAACTTTCAGTAACTACAATGGATATAGAAAGTCTTCACACTCCTCTTAAAATGCCAGTTTTTTGAGATGTAAAAAAAATCAGACCAGATCAGACCAACTTCAAAAAAATTTCCAGCTTTAATATAATATAGAAGCTGTATGTTTCACATGAAAAACAAACTGCATTTTTAGGGGAAAAATAAAATAAAAAATGTATAATAATACTGTTGCATAAGTGTGCATACCCTCTTATAATTAAGGTTGTGGCTGTTTTCAGAATTAACAAATCACATACAAACTGGTGTTAAATAGTAGTCAGTATGTACCTGCCCATCAATTAAAGTGACTCTGATCAAGTCCATATAAAGTTCAGCTGTTCGAGTAGATTTTTCTGACGTTTACACAAGTTGCCTCTTAGAGCATAAGCCATGGTCTTCAAACAGCTTACAAAGCATCAAAGGGATCTCATTATTGGAAGGCATCAGTCAGGAGAAGGGAACAAAAATTTTTCCAAGGCATTGGATATAGCATGGGATACAGTGAAGACAGTCATCAACAAGTGGAGAAACTATGGCACAACAGTGACATTACCAAGAACTGAATGCTTCTTCAAAATTGATTAAAACAACAGCAGCAACAACAACAACAACAAGAAAACTGGTTCAAGAGGCCTACAACAATATTAAAGGAGCTTCAGGAATTTCTGGTCAAGTACTGGTTGTTTACTTACAAGTGACAAGAATCTGTCTGGGTAGAATGGCAAGACAGAAGCCTTTTCTTACAAAGAAAACATATAAGCCCAGTTACATTTTGCAAAAACCTACATCAAGTCTGACAAAAGCATGTGCGAAAGCGTGTTATGGTCTGATGAGACCAAGGTTGAATTTTTGGAGCCATAATTTCAAAAAGTATCTTTGGCGTAACAACACTCTGTACCACTATGTGATGGTACACCATAACCACAATGAAACCTAGTGCTAGCAGCTTTGTGCTTTGGGGCTGCTTTTGTTCAGCTAAAACTGGGGCTTCAGTCAAGGTGGAGGGAATTATGAACAATTCCAAATAGTAGTCAATTTTGGCACAAAATCTTAGGTCTCTACTCAAATGCTGAAGATGAAGAGGAATTTCACCTTTCAGCACAATCCAAAGCATACTTCCAAATAAAAAAAGAATGGCTTCACCAGATCAAAGTTTTGGAATGGCCCAGCCAGAGCCATACCTGAATCCACATGAAAATCTGTGGGGTGACCTGAAGAGGGCTGTGCACAGGAAATGCCCTCACAATCTGACAGATTTGGAGTGCTTTTGCTAGGAACAGTGGGCAAAGATTCCCAAGACAAGATTTACCACGCTACCGGTAATAGGCTCCTACCCCAAAAGACTGAATGCTGTCATAAAGTCAAAAGGTGTTCAATAAATATTAGTTTAAGGGTGTGCACACTTATGCAACCGTGTTATTGTACATTTTTTATTGTTTTTCCCTCTAAAACAGTGATGGCAAACCTTTTAGAGACCGAGTGCCCAAACTGTAACCCAAAACCACTTATGTATCGCCGGGTGCCGGGTGGGCATGGCCTGCTGGATGGGCATGGCTACAGTGGTCATGGCAGATGGGTGGGCGTGGCCAGCTTGATGTTGCTCCTGGAGAGGGAGGCCTGTGGAGGCCGGGCAAGGTTGGGGAGATCCAGGGGGTCTTTGATGGGTGGGGCGGTGGGCAGGAGGCCTGTCCTGCAGGGTGAGGTGAGGCAAGGCGAGGCAGGGCGGGGGTGCCATTGTCGCAGGGCAAGGCGAGGCGGGCTGGGGTGGCTGCTGCCTGACACCATTGGCCCCCCCACACAGAAACCAGCGAGCGCATGGGTGCTGGGATGCATCTGGCCATGTGCGACCTCAGCGAGTTAGCGGGCGGGTGGTTGAAGAGGACAGTTGCCATCTCTGGGGCATGGCGCGCGTGCCCACAGAGAGGGCTCTGAGTGCCACCTCTGGCACGCGTGCCATAGGTTCGCCACCACTGCTGTAAAAGATTTCAGTTTGTTTTTCAATTGAATTGTATAACATATGTTATGTTAAATGTGGGGAAAAAATCTGAAGTTATCTTGGTCTATTTTTTTTTTTTACATCTCAAAAACCTGGTATTTTAACATGGGTATGTAGACTTTTTATATCCAAAGCCAATACCAAAACACAAAGAACCAAATATGATAGGAAAAGAAAAATACACAAAGCAACTAGAAAACAAGATGGCCTCCGATATAAACATAAGAAAAGACCCTCCCCCCCCCAAAAAAGAATTCAGTTTTCCAGAAAACCAGCAAGGAGGGAGCCAGCCTGACCTTTATTGAGAGACTCTTCCAAAGCACCTTAACATAGTTACCTTTATTGGTGCCAGTTTAGTTCTGTGTGTGTATGTGTGTGTATATACATATACTTATATTCGCCTCTTCTGGTTTCTGTTCTCCAAACATCTCGAAAATGTGGGATTATATTAAGATATAATCCTTGAAGTGTTTTCAGTAACATACACATATATATACTAACATAGTGATATCATTATTTGCTATTTGAACTGTCCCTTTATATTATTTTCAGGTTCACCAGCAGATTTTCAACCTATAACTCAACTAAAAGAGTCTACTCAAGGCTTGGAACCAAAACGCCCACCTCCACCTCGACCAGGAGTGCCTCCTGCTCGCCCTGCTCCACCACAAAGGCCCCCTCCTCCATCAGGTAAGGGAATGAAACAGAAAATGTTTCATAAGGTTGTTCTGTTATTTTTAGATAACATATGTTTAATAAGTTTATTATCCATCACATTTAGATATGCTGAATCATAATTCAGCACAGAGCTTGGAAATATGTAGTCATCCAGCTGTTGATGTTCCATTCATAACTGATTATTGGATATGCTGGCTTGGGGTCACGATAGTTGATGCTCAGTAACAGCTAGAAGGCTATAGTTGTTTTACTTTGGTTTAACATGGGAAAAACAGCTTAGATGACTCTCAGGCTTATACATTTACCCTCTCCCCTTCTAATGCAGGTTCAGAAAGACTTCTGTTATTACTTAATGGTTTGCCCATATCTTATCAATTCAGATGATATAGTGTTAATCGTGCTTCATTTGAAACAGTTACAACCATAGTTTCTATTGATTCAAACCCAATTATAATTAACATTCTCCACATTTCCCGGTGACCAACTCAGATTGGATCTCCACATTTTGCTCCATCATAAATTCTCTTTGTAAACCACATTATTATTTTAACATAATAGAAGTTTTAGCAAGACTTCTTAGCTTTCTGTGATACAGCTGCTTTGGATTATGTATATACAAGAGTGCTCTATTATAATTATTGTCATTACATGATATGAGCCTGAAGCTCCCTTATAATGTATGATAATAAATTCATTCACTATGATTCTTAATTTCTTTCTAATCCTTTTTTTTTTTCAATTGATACTTTTTTTACTGCTGCGTTTATCTCTTACTCCTAAGGGAGTAAGAGTCCTGCACTTACTAGAAAAGAACTTGGAGGTAATGATTATTTAATTATGGCTTAACAAATGCAGATGTTTTGTTTGTTTGTTTATTTGATATTGGTGCTAACTGACTTCAATGGGCTGGGTAGCTCACAAAGTAAAGAATAACATAAAAATAATTGATAAATAAGGATACAATAAAATTAATCCAAAAACTCTTTACAAAATAGTTGCAAAATTAAAAGCCAGTTTAGTGTAATGATTAAGGTGGTATCCTAAAAAACAGGAGATTGTGACTCTCGTGTTAAGACATGAAAGCCAGTTGGGTGCCTTGGGCCAGTCACGCTCTCTCTTCCAGCTTAGCCCCCTTTACACAATTCTTATTGTGGGGAAAATAGGAGGAGAAAGGAGTATTATGTATATTCACCACCTTGAGTTACTTATAAAGTAATAGAGACAGGATTTAAAAAAGTATTTTTAAAAAAATGGTAATCCAGACAACACACCAATTTTAAACAGGACAGCCTGTCCACCCTGTCCCAAAGCCTAAGAGAATAGCATGTTTTCAAAGCTTTCCAGAAATTGGGATGGGAACTGTCCAGATCTTGGGGGGGGGGGGTTGTATGTCAACTCTTCAATGTAGTCCAGAGAAGAAGCACCAACGATGACTACTAACACTACCTTAGTGTAAACTTACATTAATAGAATTTTGCAAGTCTGAAAGCATTTCTCCTCTCTTTTACTTTTACTATCCAGGAAACTAGGGAGAGTCCCTTCTGAGAACGTTTCCCATGTTCTTTTTGCTTCTATGGGCTGCAATATCTTTTGCACAATGGTTGTCTAGTCTGTGGCTCTTCCTTCTGCCTCCCAAGTTCATTCCCACATACCATACTCAATCTAGATCGCAGGTTCCTTTATAGTGAGGGTGTGTTTTCTAGGTCCTGAAAGAACTGTTTAATTGATGGGATCTGGAATGTGCCCATTCTATCAGACTGTACCACCCAGGAAAAACCATGAG